TGAAGTTGAGAGGATCTGACTCAGTAGAAATGACACAACAAGAACAGATAACTTAAGTTTGATTGATATTGTCTCAGGAAGACGATGGACAAGTGGGTTTTCTGAAGGTTTGTGAAGATGGAGTTATCCGTTTTTACAAATAAACTCTTCATTTATTATTACTCTCTACTTCTAGCTGTGGCTGTGCTGTTTCCATAGAAGTGCAGGACTTCACACTACACTGTGAGTAAAAATGGGACAGAATCAAGAAATTAGTAGAAACTTCTTGGGGTTCAGAGGGTTAACTGTATGTAGTTAAAAGTAGGCTAAACTCAAGAAGTCAAACAATAATATTAAGCAAAATTGCCCACGTAGAAATGCATATTTGACATTTACAGGCAGCCTTTGGTTTCAGCACAAAAAGCTAACTCTAAAAAATAACTTAACATTGGGTAGTAGTTCAGATTCAGTGCAGAGTAATTAAAAAAAACGCTGCCAGTGCTGCCTCTCAAGGTAGTTTTGTCACCTCTGGTAACCCGTTTCCTGCAGGAACCTCAACACTATAATCGATCAGAAACCAACAAATGCCTCCAACAGTCAGATAAAATACATGTGCAGATCTAAAACAGCAGCACTGTGTGTGTGCAGAATAACTTGCTGTGGTGCAGGGCAAATGTGAAATATAATGTAGTAAATGGGGTGCAGCATGCAAAACAAGAAGCCACGAAGCCAGGTTGGAGAAAACTATATACCGCAGTGTTCCTTTAAGAGCACATCCTCCTGGGTTACTACTCCACACAGAAACCCATTGACTTGCCGTCTGCAAAACTGCACACCCTGCACTTTGATCCTATCGGCACAATAACAGACTTCAGTAGTAACCTCAAGTATACAAACCTGTATGAGAGAATTCTCCTTTTCCCTGCAGTGTCGGACTGAATTTTGAGCTGACAGTTAAAAGTCTGAACTCTGTGCTGCCACAGAACGAGGAAAGCATTCACTACTACGTCTTATTAAAAGTTACGGCAAAGTCGCTGCTCCTACGACTTCAAATTCCTTCTTTGTGTCTTTTTGTTTGTTGTTGTTTTGCATAAAATATTGCACCGTTAGTTCACGATGACTAGAAAGGAAAGCATAACTAAGGAGTTTGGAAAGCTGGAGGCACCGACATTTCTCCTGTGGCTGCAGAGCAGAAAAATGTGGAAACACACTCACAAAATATGAGCACAAAATCTGCCGGTGAATCGACACAGAAAACAAGCTCATTGCTGTTACAAGAAGAGGTTCGGATCAGCCTCGTTTTATTTTGCACAGGGTGTGCAGTTTGTCAGACAGGACGACAGTGTGATTCACAATATTGTGATGTAAAAACGTCAGTTACTCCCAAATTATTCTGACTATATTGTCAAAATATTACCTCGTCTACTCGGAACGACTGCATTTCACTGTATTTTTTTCCTCCACCTGGGTTTTTTTCCACTGATAATGGCTCATTTCGACCAAAGAAAAAGGTCTACATTCACCTAAACAGCCAATTATCCTGATACAGATATTAACTGCAGGCGTGAGCTTGAAATTAAAGATTATTTCTCATGATAATCAGTCACCTGCTCGTACTATTCAACAGGCGAGGAGCTTCAATGCGGCCGTCTCCCTCCAAAAATAGTAGATCATTGTGTGCTATATAACCGCTGTCACACTGGAGGTCATGGTAATGCAATTTTCCCCAGTAACAGAAACGGTTGCAGAGCACTCCTCCTCCTCCTCCTGTCCACCACCCCGCCCACTTCAAGAAACCAAGCGCACCCCCACAAAGCTCCCCTCCCACAGCTGAGGATCTGGGTCTAGCGTGGTATCACAGTAACCATGGAGGAAAAGGGAAAAAAAAAACACATCCATTTTAATCAGGCCAACGTTGCCGCCGCCGCTCTCGCCGCCGCCTAATTTGCGTGGCATCTTGTTCAAATAGGCTCATACAATCTCAATCTGTGTGTGCGTCCGTGTGTGTGTGTGTGTTTGGGAGCTGAGAATGAGGCGGTGGCAGCGGCGGCGTTGCATGCTATCCTGAGTGTGTGTGTGTGTGCACATTACGAGCACTACTTTTGATTCACTGTTACCCCCCGAGGGCCATTTCCCACGGTGGGTGGGAATTCAAGAGGACGGAAATCTGTGCAAGACACTAGCAGACAAACACGGCTCTTTCCGCCTCTCAGAGCCGTTTCATAATTTAACCTGCATGCAAACCAGTGCTGACGTGATTAGTGAGTGCATTTATGAAATTACACCGGCGGCATATTTTATTTACCTGGAGCCAAAGAGGAACCTCCACAAACCACTAAGAAGTCAAGCTTTAGTTCAATAATCACTGTGGGAATAGATTTCAAACACGTGATACCACAACCATCATAATCTATGGCTGTCACACAAGGAGGACGGCATTAATTTACGGTTTTAATCTCTGGTCAGAGGCCCCGCATAACGTGCATCTTAAATTGCAGCCTTTGCATCTCGCTAATAGCATTGTCTGAAACCGCAATTTCGATTTGGAATCAATTAATCATTTGCCCCTGTCACGGGTCTGCACATTTCATTTACTGAACAGTCCATAAAACCATTTATTATATTAATACACTCACTGACTTGTGGTCGGTGTTTTAAGAAATCTATGAAAAGGTGAAAGAAACTACATAAAGCAAGAGTGAAGTAACAGAACACAATTTAACCTCATGTGAAACAGTCAATGCAAACTGTGGGTTTTCCAAAGACAGAGCAGGTAAATAGTTGTGGATCAGGGTTCGTCTGCAGCATGACTGGCTGATATTGGACACAAGGCAAATAAGTTTTGAGTTTGAAAGAGTGGATTATAAAAGAGCATCAGAACAGGACGTGCTGAACAGACCTGGCAGCTAGTTGAGCAAGTTAAACATTTATTGTTGATGAACGATTTAATCGACCAACAAGGTAAAAGTGCAGATTCTCATTACTACTTATTATTCTGTGAAATTTCTGTGCACTTTAATCAACTTGTCTGCACCGTTTTTTTGATTTATTTTAATCTGTAAAGCTCTTTGAATAACCTCCGCGTGTGATAAGAGGCTATATAAATAGACGCGCCTGCATTAGGAAGATTTGCCACAGTGAGAAAAATACAGCAGAGAAGCAAGAATTTAATCGCGTCAAAACCCAACGACATTCAATCAACAATGACAGCGTGGTGTTAATGCACTAAATATCTACGTCTAGATTAAACACAGACCAATATGAAGATGACACTCTGGTAACTTGACATCTCACAGTATTCCCTGACATTTTATTGACTTAGAAGTGATTAATAAGAAATGATTAACTTTGAATTAGATCTATCAGCTGCAGCCTTTGGATAGCAGCTCCACCAGCTGATCCTAATAACTTAACCTCCTAATTAGAGCTTCATAGGGATCTCCTGACTGTGGTCACTCCTCCACCGGGGCTTGCTTCCTACCCATCATGGTTTGTCAGTTGTCTCCATAGTAATCCCCTGTATTTTCTCCCCCTCCACCCCGCCGTCCCACTCCCTCAGTCGGCTTCCACTTCAGGAATAAATAAATAAATGATCAGGCTGGCTGGCAGCAGGAGAATCCCACAGTGGAAGTAAATGAGAAAATCAGGACGAGGCGTAGACACAAGCAGGGGTCCGCATACCTGTTTCAGGGCTGAAATTAACTCATCTCATGGCTAATTGGCCTTCAATTAGCAGCAAAGAGCAGAAGCTGTGAAGCAACGCAAACCAAACGGGCCCCGAAAAACCTCAGTTTCCAGAAGATAAAGAGCTAAAAGAGCAGAGCTAAAGCAAAGACTGGCTTCAAACAGGAACACGCTCCATGTAAATACATTTAAAAGGGAACACAGAAGCAGGAGATGTGGCGTTTCAACCCCACAAAGAGACACTATTTCTGGGGTTGAGCAGCCCAACCGAGCACGGTCATTGCTCCAAGGAGCAGCCGAGACAGGTGCACCAGCTCGGCTCGCGTCAGCTAACCTCCCCCCTCCTCCTCCTCCGGTACACGGAGCGTTTATTCTCCCCAGCACCATGAGCAAATACATGAATCAAAAACACAAACAAGAGCTGCAAATTAGTCGTTTAAACCCACAAAAGGAGGCCCTTTTTCCCCCAGAAGGAGACGGTTGATTAGCTAAACTTAACACGGTCATTTCTTTAAGGTGAAGCCAAGACAGGTGCCCTGCGTTAGCTAACATCCCCCCCGGTACACGGAGCGGGTTTGTCAGTACCGTGACTCCACAACACTGTAAACAAATTAATAAGTAAAAGCCCAGACAAAATCATCAAATGAGCGTTTTAACCCCCTAAAAGGACGCTAATTCTGCGGCTTTTAGCCCAGAAGGAGACGCTTGATTAGCTAAAAACCGAACACGGTCATTCCCTCAAGGAGCAGCTGAGGCAGGTGCCCGGCTCGGTTCGCGTTAGCTAACATCCCCCGGTACACGGAGCGTTTTTATTTCAACAGGACACCAGAAACAAATAAAAGCTCAAACAAAAGGAAGGAAATGAGTTGTTTTAAACCCGAAAATAGTCGCTTTTGGGGGTTTTCTTTGCTCAGAAGACGGTTGATTAGCAAAAACCCGAGCACGGTCATTCCTCCAAGGAGCAGCCAAGGCAGGTGCCCGGCTCGGTTCGCGTTAGCTCCCGGTACCCGGAGCGTTTTTCTCTCCACAGGACACCATAAGCAAATAAAAACATTAATAATACATACAAATTGGGGGGAATTTAGTCGTTTTGAACCCTGAAATAGTCGCTTTTTGTGTTTTCTTAGCCCAATTGACGGTTGATTAGCTTAACCGAGCACGGTCATTTCTTCAAGGAGCAGCCGAGACAGGTGTACAATCTCGGTCCGCGCTAGCTAACCTCTCCCCACCTCCCGGTTCACGGAGCGTGTTTCCCCCCCCACCCCGGGTCGCCGTGGCTCTCCCAGCGACACACAAGCGGGTGAAGCGCACACACACAGCCCGGAGAGGAGCCTTACCGTGGACGGTAATGCGGTGATGGAGACATAAGAGCAGCAGGAGGATCCCCGGTGTGGACGTGACCATCTCTGGCGGCGGAACGTGCGGTTTGCTAGCTGAGCGCTCGTGGCCGGCCTGCTCTTTAACACACTCACTCACTCACTCACTCACGCACGCACGCACACGCACACACACACACACGGCAGAGCAGCTCCTACCGACGCCACAGCAGAAATCCCGGTTCGGACACCGGGGGAGGGAAACGGAGGCGGCACAGCACGCGCCTTTTGAAGCGTCCTAGAACCGCGCGCCGTGCGGGCCGTGCGGGCTCCCGTTCTGCCGTCTCGAGCTGAAATCCATTTTTTTATTATTTTTTTTTCTTGCGGGGAATTGACGGTACCGAGGAGCGGTGGCCGGTTGAGAGGAGCTGCTGCTGCTGCACCGGAGCCCGTCTCAGCTGAGGAGGGTTTTCTGTGCGTGTTTTCCTCCTTCAGCACGGCGCTGCTCAGAGTTAACCCTTCACTGTCCGCACAGCATAATTCAGCAATGAGCTGGTTTACAGTAAAATACACTGAAAACATTATTATGGTTATAAATACACTAAAGCAGTTCTATCCTGCAAAAATAAAAATATAAACATCTTAAGTGCTTTTTATGTCGCCTATATTTACATTGTCTGTTTTATAAATGTAAATTCTACTTATTTCTACTATATTTTACCATTTGTTACCCAGCCCATGTTTACTGTAAATATACACAAATATACATGTACAGTTTCTCTTATGAACAGTTCTATATAAACTGTATTTTGTAATAATTTGTACTATTTTTACTGTTTAAAAAAATCCTCAAATATATATGTATATATTTGCTGCTATATTACAGTTTTTCCCTGTTTAATTAAAACTCATTTGTGCACTGTTAAAAGAAAAAAAAGTTCAAAAAATGTAACTGTATTTATTAATTTTTTGTAATTTAGTTACTATTTTTATTTATTTATTCATTTATACAATGAAAAAAAAAGGTTCACAAAATTTAACTGTATGTTGTTTAAAATAATTTTTTAGTTATTTATTTACTATTTTTACTGTACTGTTAAATCTGCAAAAACAATCATTATTTTTGCTGCAATATTACAGTTTTTCTCTCTTTTCTTTAATCACTGATAATATTTAGTTAAATAATTATTATTATTATTATTACTATTATTAAACTTTCCTTTTACATTAATATTTTATAACAACTAATAACAGTAATGTTTATATATATTTTACAGATATTTATTTTTGTTAAAAATAAAGATAAAAAATTTAGTAAAATAACAGAAAAGAAGCTGACCTTTGTACTCCTTTGTACACTGTAAAAAAACAAACATTAAAAACAGAATTTTTAACTCTATTTTTGTATTTAGATTTTACAGTTTCTCCTTGTTTTGGTAAATGAGTAATAATATCTAGTAACATCTAAAAGAAAGTAAGCCTATTTATGAAATCATCCAAAACATTCACCTCCATATTTCCCCTCCTGACCAATCGATAGAATCGTTTTTTCAAATTTTCCAAAATTAAAAAAGTCCCAGTTACCTGGCTCTCATTATTCAGTCTGCATAACAACCGAAGATAAAATGTGCTATAATTTCTTGGCAGCTGCAGATTCAAAGCTCCAACCACTTGAACCGCACCATGTGTTTAGTTCAGGTTTTTATTTCCAATCATTTTGCAAGAGCAGATGTCTCATTTCCCAAAAAATAACACCAAACATTGGAACCGAGCTCGGCTGTTAGATTCCTTCCCGCTCCGCCTCTGCGATGCCGTTGATCAGCAGGCCTTTGGTATTTCCAGGGGGTTGCGCGCTGCCAGGTTTTATAGACTCTCGTAGTTCTTATCAGAGGATTGAACCTCATCTTCGGTGATGGCTGATGGCTGCTGATGCACCCCAAGGCTCAGTCTGTCCCAGATTTTTACATTCCCTGACAACACGCTCGCAAACCACTGTATAATTCTGTAAGCGGAAGTGTCTGTCTTCCTCCGGCCGTCTCTTCCTCGCTGCCAAACACACACAGACTGATTGTGGATCTGAAGGACGGAAATCAAAGCTGCTATGTGGAAAAATCCCTATTTGCAGGTTTAACCATCAGGGACCTGCGAAGCGAAGATGATTCCTGAAGTCCATTCGCAGTTCTGACATCATTTGATGGGATGAATTGTAGCTTTGATGGAAAAATCAGATAGTTGTTTATTTTCCAGCGGCAGAAAATGGTCAGAATACAATTTGCTGCTGAAAAGAATGAAGTGAAATCAGATAAACTGTGAATTAATCAGCGTTCAGAATAAAGACAATTTGTACGTTTTTGCAGAAAACCACAATGAAATCCAGCTCAAGAGGTCCAGTTTGAGAGACGCATCAAACGACTCTAAAGGCCTAACAGACAACAAAACCAAAGTGTACAATACCACAAAACAGGATTTTACATCTCTAGATACAGGAGAACAGTCATTTTACTATAATTTTAGGTTTGGTTTCCAGCTTTCCAACGAGATCTTCTGAAATCTTCCCGTCAGAGCTGCTCAAATCAGAAACACGACTGATGCAAACGGACCTGTTCTGGGTTTTATAGAGACTTAAAAGCAACGTAAATATTTCAGTAGATTTAAGAAGCTTCATTTTAACTCAACACGACTGAGAGGGAAGGATCTCGCAGAACCCTGGATCACTTTAGAGCCATTTTAAAATAAATTAAACACAAAAACAAGCTGTAAAAGCAACACAAATGTACTCTAAATTCTGTAATATAGTATGATATATACAGACATGATCAGTGTTGCAGTATCTGGACTTTACTATAATAAAATATAAAATATTTATGGATATAGGATTCAAATTCCCGTGACCTTAGTGAGGATTAAGCGGTGTATAGATAATGGATGGATGGATGGATGGATTCAAACTGACAGTGCAAAAACAAGCACTAATGGTAAACCCTTTTAATCAAAGGAAGAAGTCCCATTTCTTTACAAAATGTAGATTAATTTATAGAATTCTGCTGGTTGACGTCCACAACAGGAGCTCCAGGAATCAGACATGTTCTTAACGACAGCAGCTTTTAAGACACTCATGATAAGAACTGTAATTTAAAAAGACTGTAATGTTGATTTTAGCTCAGTGCAGTTTTATCTCAGCTCTCTTTTTGTAGTCTGAAGACAATAAAACAACTATTTTCTTACTTCTTCTGCTTCGTAATCCTGCTCAACATCAAAAAACAGGATTTTTAAACATTGTTTTTCATGAAATGCCATCTACGTATGTAATGGCATCTTTAGGGAAGCGCCGCTTTGTGTCACATTCACGATCTTAATTAGGATCTCGCTTTGTTGACGAGCTCTCTGTCCTCAGCAGCCTCCTGCTAATCCGGTTGGGAGTTCGTCATCGTCATGGAAACGCTGGATGCTCGGCGGGAAAGTCGGGTGTCGGCTTGACGGCGGCGTCTTCGTTCTCCGGTGGGCCTAACCATGACTCATCTGCAGCTCGGAAAAAACGGAGGCGAGACTTCCAGCTAATCCTTCAATAATTCTGATTAGTTGTCACATAGGAGTCAGAAGGAGGAAGTACTGTTGCTGTTCAGAGGCTGGACAGTAAAAAGCGTCTACATCACCACATATCAGACCCTCATGTTACAAATATAAGACCTGAGAGGACATTTCTGTGACATACAGTCACTTTAGGTCATTATTAACTGAACAGAAATTACTTCAAGCAGTGCAAAAGTAATAAAAACAAATCTTCAATTCCTCATATGTCCACTAGGGGATGTCTCCTTAAGTGAGTCAGTTTCTATTGACCTCCATGTTAAAATGTCCAACTTTACAGCAGAAATAAACATGTTTACAGCCTGGAACAAAAACAGTTTTGGTGTCTATAGCTAATGTCACCGTTCATGACGACTGTACAGGGGACGGACTTTTATACAACTCACCCCCTTAGATTATATTCAAGCTTAAAGTTATGTATAATTAAGGCTGTGGCGTCTTCGGACACTCATGCTTCACATCTCTTTGCTCATTTTTGGATTAGCAATGACACAGGAGGAGTCAAACACCAGATTGAGCTGCAAACTCGCTCTACTCAAACCAACTGGTGACATCGTTCTGGATATACGGTCAACATTAAAAAGCCTCTGAATGAACATCTGCATGTTTGATTTGGTGTGTGGTCAGATATCCCTAATTGAACATGGCAGATTGATGTCGCTGCACACTGTCATCACGCACAAAACCCAAGGTGACCATTACCAGGCCAGATGGCTCCATTACAGCCACGTTCCCAGCATCCATATTAACCTGTAAACACGGCAGTCGTTCAACGTCGGCGTCAGAAGAACCGCAGCAGGTAAGAAATGCAGAAGATGGAAACGTTTCTGCACACAGGATGACTGTGTGACTATTATTTTAGCTAGTTTCATGCAAAGAAGTGGTGAAGTCTGCACACGTTTTGTTGAACTAATTCGACTTTGTCACTCTGGTGCATGCAGAGCGCTTCACAGCAGGACAGCAAGAGAGGAATGTTGAGCAAACGTCCAGCAGCTACAATCAGAGCAGCTTTGGATAGAAGCTGGAAAAATAACATAATTTATCTATAGATGGGAGGAAAAAACAAAAACAGATTGAACTCAGCTACAGATGCTTCATAAAACCGGCCACCGGAAGGGTTTAATTCCTTAAATTTCCGCCTCATCGTGGGGAAACACGACCCTGTGCTGTGTGCCCAAACCTCGCCGAGCAGCGACATTTCTGCAGCAGAGGCTTGCACACAGCCCACAGATATCAATACTTCCTCAGACCAAACAGCTTTATCCTCGTCTCAGCAGGAAGCTGCGGGAGCTCACCGCTGGCTGAAAGCAGATATTTAATCATGCTCAGATCTGGGCCAGGTTTCTGAAGATGCTCGTAGCAAGAGGAGGAGCTTCTTTATCTCCCGGTGAGAGAGGAAAACTGGGAGAACGGGCTCTTTAGGATTTCTTTTTATTTTTTTTATTTTCTCTGCTGAGCCCTCAGACAAGGAGGCAGAAGGAAGAGGAGGCTGTGCTGATTTAGTGCCACCACAGAATGAGTTGTCTGGAACAAAACGAGCTGTAAACTTGTTGGTAAGTGCAAATCTGTGAACAAAGCAGGAGAGAGGAGGGAAAAATAATAAAAGTGTCAATAGAAAGCACTCATACCTGTGAGGATCCCCGTAAAGATTCATTATTAATGGATTGATTTTCTAATCGTGTTCAGTTTGGAAGTTTGTTTCTGGAGCTGAAGTGCAGTTCAGCACCACAGACAGCGACAGTCACAGCTGCTTCATATGAAAACGTTACTGACAAATATCCAACTAATAGCATTTACTTTGATCAAATATCTCTGCCGGGTCATCGTACTGCCTACATCTAGACCTGCCTCTAAGGAAATGCTGTTTCCTGGACACTACGAGCGTGTGATGATGTTTAATGTCTCAATTAAGTCCTGTGACATTATTAAACTAATAGATGTCATAATTAATATTTATTAGCAGTCTCCTTTTCCCACCTTTATCCTCATTAAATACTAATTCAGCTACTTTAAGTCAGTTTTTCTGTGATGCTGAGCACCAAAACCAGTGCTCTCTTTTCCCCAAATGTCCTAAAATCTCACCGAATGTGGAAGCCAAAACAAATAATCCACTCTGATATAAAGTCAGGGGTTGATCGATCGACCGACCCGCTGACACAGTTGATGCATTCCTACGAGCTTCTGATGATGGTTTGAAAGTGAAACTGAAAAACTGCACATACAGCTCTGGGTATCTACACAGTTAGGATAAATCTGGGTCAGCCGAGCGGTTTCAGTGTGTGGTGCTACTAAAGGGCACTGCATCGCAGCGTTGTGAGTCAAAATGTCATACGACCGTGTGTTTGTTTCACCATGAACTGGAGGAGGCAGCACCACATCACCGCTGTGACTCAAAGAATGAACATCAGCATTCAGGGGAAAAGGCCACAGTCTCCAAGGCCAAAGAAGGAGGTCAGGAGTGCACCAAGAGCGTGCTTTGTTGCTGTCTTTTTCCACAACGTGACACGAAATATGTCCAAAATGACCTGATACGTGACCAGAATGGCTTTAAAACTGTCCAAAACAATGCAAAATGTGCCTGGAATAAATCAATATCAGTCTAAAAAGACTAAAATTTGTCCAACATGACTCAAAATGTGTCCAAATCCACTTTAAGATAGTCCAAAATAACTCAAAATGTGCCCAGAAATATTTAGTATCTATACAAAACAGTTTAAGGATTGATTAAAATGACACAACATTTGTCCAAATTCACCCACATTTGTCCAAAATGACTTAAGATGCATCCAAAATGATTCAAAACCAGTGAAAAATGTATCCACAGCTTTGAGTTTGTCCAACAAAACTTGTCCAAAATGACTTGAAGATTATCCACAACCATGCAAAATCTGTCCTCCATGACTCAAAATGTGTCGAAAAAGAGTCAAATTTGTCCAAAGTGACCAAACCAACTTCAAAATGATCAACAACGACTCAAAATGTGCCCAGAAATATTCAAAATCTGTACAAAACAAGAGTTGTCCAAAATGACAAAACATTTGTCCAAATTCACCCAAATTTCTCCCAAATAATTTGAGATGCATCCAAAAAATCATTCAAAAGACTATATCCATGACTTTAAGTTTGTCATAAAAAACTCCAAACTTTCCAAAATGAGTTAAACATTCTTCAACATGCATCCAAATTGGTCCAAAACAACTCAAAATTAGTTGAAAAAGACTCTTTTCCCCCAAAATGATTTACCATATATAAATAAATAAAATGAAAAGTCACATATTAAGTTAATATTTACTGTAAATAAAGTAAAAAAAAAAAAAAAAGAGAGACAAAACAGGAGGCTAGAAGTAATCCTTTATGTATTTTCGACATATATTTCTGTAAAAAATAATATATTTACATTTTTTTACACACGTTTTTTGTTTTTTTGTACAGTACATACAGCATTTACATATAAATATAGATTTTACAGCATAAAGTCAGTGCTGCACAAACTGTAGAATGTGTGTTTGATGTGGCATCAGTTATAGTTTGGATTTATTTCTCTGTGAATAAATGAGATGTTGTCGAACTTCAGCATCGTTGCATTTTTAAAAAAGGTTTGAGTTTAGAAACCTGACAAAGAGGAGCTTTGAAACTTTTCCTAGTGTGGTAAACCAGGAGTGTTGTACAGGTCTGCAAGCAAACATCATGATTATAGTTTCAGATCTTTGCACCTGAACAAGACATGCTGGCTGTTAATGACACAGAAATGAGGCTGAAAGTTTAAATTTGTATTAAAACATTTCTGCTTGCATGTGGAATGAAGCCTCTTTGGGTTATTTGGCTCCCTAAAGAGGCCAAAATGGGATTATTTTGTGGTACGTGATGTGAAAATAGAGAAAACAACAAATCATGTGGCATGTTGGTTTTAGGACCCGCTATAACTCACAGACATAAAAAAGGTGAGATTTATGACGACGTGTTCATTATTCATGTCCACAGCGTTATGGCACAACCTTCACAGGTTTTTATCTCCTGAATTAAAATCTATTAATCTTGATGAGGCTGGTATTAATAATGCAGAATCTTATCGTGTAAAACAGAATATTAAATACATCTTTTTAAAATAGAAATTTAAAATGACACCACGTACATATGGTTGGCCGATGTGCCTTTAGAAAACTCGATCAAATGTAAATAAATGCACTAAAATATAACTTAAAGGTTGTGGACATAGTGTGGAAATGTGACTTGAATTTTTTTTTTAAAGCAGCCATTTTGGTGTAACAGCGCCCCCCGGTGGACGAAACGCATCTCATCTATAAAACTGGTGCTTCATCATCTCACGCTGATTCTTCACAGTTTGCGTAAAACAGCAGGAACGTTTGATTAATCGAGATGTTGGATCCATTAGACAGAAAGTCTTTCATTGATAATTTAACATGTTTCCAGTACAGAGAGTAGAACGAACATAGTAAGATAATAAGAGTCTAGTTTGTCTTAAATATGTTGCAAAAAAAAAAAGGTGAAAATGCAGTTTGTTTTGTTTTTAATCCACTGAACAGTGAGAGGTATCCTGTGGCAGCTTTCTTTTTTAGCCCGTGTGACTTATCGTACGTCCACGCCTTGCTGACAGAGATGGATTCCAGCTGCAGAGACGCCGTTTGTTTTTGCTTCGGCTTCAGCCTCGTTTGAGTCGGCAGCCTCAGGGGTTGTAGGGCTTCTGCAGGCACAGCGAGCCGTGCTGAGGAAGAGGATGGCTGAAGTAGTGTTCGATCAGAGCCGACAGGTTGGGGAAGGTCATGTCGCTCTCCAGAAATATGCAGCCGTCCTGCCGAGGCACCGCCAGAGAGCAGGAGACTTTGTTACTGTGATGTAAATCTTTATTTTGTGCATGAAATGATTCAAATCGTGTATGTTTGTGCAAATACAGTAGCGAGCTCTCACCTCTTCAAACAGTCGGTAGTTTCTGGCTTTGCTTACACTGACGTCCCAAACCACCAGCACCTGGACACATCGAAAATCCTTTGATTAGACTTTAAATGCAAATAAATCAACTTCACAAAGGTCAGATATTAAGATGCAAGATACAAACATGTGCAATAAAGACTAGGAGGGACTGACTCACCTTGAGACCAGAATAAGATGAAAAAAAACAACAACAATATTTACTATTAGCTCTGTTTTTGGTCTCCACCAACTCCTTTAAACACTAAATGCTCCAATATGTTCACTGCCTCATTGTTTGGTGCTAATCAGGTGATGTTTATTGGATTTTTTTTTTAGATCTACAGCCATCTGCTGTGGCTACGAGAATGCTGAGAGAGAATAAGGCCGCGTTTAGACGCAGCTAAAATGGTGATATTTTTGGTATCTTTGGTTTACACGTAAACGAAGCTACAAGCCACCGAAAACGATCATGTCTGAAAACTCTCCCACAGTGGAAATGTGGAAAAACTCTGTCTTTATGTTTGCATGTAGACAGGAGGAGACAGAGTTTGACGTCACAGTGTGCGACAAAAGCGTCATCAGCGTCATATGTGTGCGACCATGTTAGCAGTTTGGCTGCTGTGATAGAAATGGATGCTGTTTTTGGCCTGTTTGCAATTACATTCAGAAATGTTCTATTATGTGGAGGAGCTTCTCTGTCGGCCCAAACAAACGACCCATTATTGTTGAAGGAACAGGAAGTAATTTATGCCATTCGTTGTTGTGTTTTTTCCAGGATTCTGATTGGCTAGCATGGCTTTATGCTTCTCGTTACACTGCCCCCTATAGGTCGGACATGCTCATAGCGGCTCTTAGCGACGTGTTTATAAGGGTTTGTGTAAACAAAGATTTTTTTGAAAACGATCTGGTGTCCGTTATTGTAAATATCCAGTTACATGGCCTAAAGTTGTGGCTGAAACTCATTAAACCCTCTGAGAAAATCTGCAGAGTCAGATATAACTGTGTCACTAGAAACAACCCTTGTCATGATTTCATTGATTTCATATTGCTGTTAAATATAATTATCTTAAAAAAACTTAAATTATAGATGCTATACCACGAAAATATGACGACAAAACAATTGCTAGTGCTTGAGAATGTGAGTTTTTTTTTTTATATATTAATTTTATTTTAAATATTCAGTATAAATAATAAGCAGGGTTGTCTCGCTAAACTGACATTATCCCCAAGAAGAAGAAAAAAGCCTGTCAACTGACATTTTGGTTAGTATTGCTGAAGTGGAATATGGTGAAAAAATGCTAAGGACACTTTAGGCTTGTTGAGCAAACAGAAGAAACAGAACAAATGAAAGAACTCTACTGAGGATTTAATCTACATTCAGATCCATTTAGACTTTTGCCATGAGACTGTGAAACTAAATGCACGGCATTCCTGGCTGAGGGTGTAGTTGGTTATTATTCATACACATTTTTGGCCATAAATCTTGTATGTAGGAAAGTTAATTTGGATTAATTCAACAGATGTTTCGGTCGAGCATTGCTGACGAGTTTCAGTAGAGGGTGTGTCAGAATATCTTTACAAGACCAGAACTGAGCTCCAGCTATGTCAGCCAGACACATTTCTACAGTACAGGAGAGGAAAATGGTTGTAAAATGATTTTTATTTTGACTGTCTTTATTTTTTTTTACCTTTGCTGTTTTGGTTCCTGAGTTTCTGATGCCATACAGTCCATCCTGTGGAGAAACTGAGGTCTCCCTGAATAACCTGCAGGAAGAGACACAGTTTCATAAGATTTTAATGAAACCATCCTGCAAAGACCGAACTAGAAAACGTGAAGCAGATGTGACCATGAGTAAAATCTAGAAATAAACTGGTGTTGATAAAAGAGGAGGCAAGTTTTCACCACTAGAGGGCAGAAACACTCTAAAAAAACAGCAGCACAGTGTGGCATGATGAAGGGATTTCTACTGTCTGTAGATATATTATACATGTACAACTTATAGTGGCAAAAAAAATCTTAAAAATCAGTGTTTTCTTACTTTTCCACAAAGCTGGTTTCAGTTGAATCAATAAACACTGAGTCTGGAAGTTGCACCTGTAGATAGAAACACAATGTGAACGATGAGTTTATTGGACATCAGCTCAAATGTGGGCCTTTAGAGAAATAAAAGCAAAATAAATAAATAGAAAACAACAGCACAAAAACTTGGTGTGACTTGTTTGCTAACATCTAGTTTGTCGTTAAAAATAAACAACAAGTGAAGCCAGAAAGACACTAAAGTTGAACTTAAATGTTTGTTATCGAAGGATGATCTACAAAAATATCCTCAAAATCTTATTGAACCCATCTGAGCCCATGCAATGTGCACTACATTTAGCAAACTGGAGGAGGTCCAAGAAATGGGAATTTTGTTACACATCATGTATGTGGTTGTCAGTTTATGTGGTTTCATCTAAACTATTTCCTAAACTGGACTTACGGTTGATTGTTGCTTTACAGTAAGAGATTAGTCTCCTTGGAAATGAATGACTCATGTGAGATGTTCATTAAGGCCTAAATACAGTGACTAGTCATTTGAATGACCAGAATCCAAATATAGGGAGGAGTTCACTGTGTTCAGTCGAGATAATGAAAATTGGTTCGCCTTATCTGAAGCAACATCTCTAGACGCGGCGACTCAGACGTTATTATCAGCTGACGTAATTTCGGTTTCTCTTACATTCTCGTAGTCGTCGTCAGAATCGTCTCCTCCGCCGGGTTTGATCGCGTCTTGTTTCCGCCTGAAATCTGTAGGCGTCTCTTCTCCCAGCGAGCGGAAACTCTGTCCTTCTGGAGATGTTCTTCTGGTGAGAAAGCACATCTTAGTGAGGCAGTTTCAACCATTTCTGGGAATCCTGTTTAATCAACAGGATACAGCGTCTCAATAAGGCGGCTTTACAGTCGTTTTCCACGCCTTTAGGCTTCAGATCAACTGGCTGATCGGTTGCTTAATAGGGTCCCATCCGAGCAAATTATGACTGGTTGGACAATGGCGGGTTCATAGTGTTACATCAATCGCATAATCCATTATTTTAATAGCAGACTACTAGTGAAAAGTTGGGTGTTTTGAAGACACCCTGCATTTTCATTTACCCAAGTCTGCAAGGGCAAACATGGACCCCTATGCAGACGTCTATTTGAAACCCAAAATTTGTGACTGTGTGGAGCGGAAACTATCCAAAGAGATTCTCCATCTTCCACACATTTCTAATTCATCTTTAGGAGAGCTGTAGTTAAAGTACTTTGTTCTGGACTTCAGAGGTGCTTTCATTTGTACAAGCTTTCCATCAACAGAGCCCAAACTCAGTAAGAAGTTGTAAGTTCTCCAGAACATTCGCACTTTAGGAGGAACAAAACAAGAAGAAGACGAAAAAAACAAATGGTGCTGAAAACAAATGCTTGTTTGGAGCAGAAGCTATACAAGAAGATTCTCCGTCATCAACACCTTTATAGCTAATCATAAAAGGAGTTGTAGTTGCAAGCTTGGAACAGGGAGTAAACACTGTAGGAAGTTCTAAATTCTCCAGAAGTCCTGTGCTACATCCACCCACTGTGCTCAGCACACCTTAGGAACAATCACTACACAGCAATCTGCAGGTAGCTACAATAAAATCTGTAAAAACAGCACAGTCGCCACCTTTCAGGAACATCCACGGGTGCCCTTTGAGGTGTTCTGCATTCGCTATGAGGGGCAATGCGACCATCGACGTGGGAAACCGATGTGTACCTGTTGTAATTTCGATGCACCCGTTTTAAAAATTGGAATTAGTCAAGAGAAAACAATGAACTGTCCCTAATAAGGCTATGATGTTGCTGTCAGGTAACCAAGAAACAACATGCAGATTTTGTTTTCCAAGCAACTTTAGTCGACCAGAATTATCTTGGTTGCTCAGAGTTACACTTGCAAGTCCCCCCTACTTTCAGTCTTTGTGCTTGAACTTACTGAAGCGGTGTTCCTTGCGGCTTGGACTTGGCAGCAGGCACTGGTGGTTTGACCGTCGGTGGAGGTGGTTTGGGTGTCATCGGTTTATTGTGTTTAAGCAGTGGAGAGACTGGAGGGTGGCCAGGCGATGATGGACGCCCAGGCAGTATGTGGTTGAGGGACAGGACGGATGCTGCGGGGCTTACGGATGGCCGAGTCGGTAGACCTGGCTTGCTGCGGAGGTGGTTGTTTGCCAACGACTGGCTCCCTCCAGCATTAAGAGGGATGTGAAAGGGACCATTTAGTGGCAACCTGCTTTCTAAGTGGTCACAGATGGGAAGAGTGGCCGGTGACTGAATCGGCATCGGCGGCAGAGCCTTCCAGTTACTCTTGTCAGTACCCCCCAATGAGAACCCCCTGTTCGGAAGAGTCTTCTTTGGGTTCGGAGGAGGAATTGGTGGAGGGGTTGGAGACGTGGACCTACGTAGATGAGGGGCAAAAGGGATAGGAGGTGGAAGGCCTTTGTCTTTTGGTATGGAGGGAGGTGGGATAGAAGGCGGAGGTTTCTTAGGAAGAGGACTGGTTGGGATTCTGTGTTGTGGCGGGAGGGGAGGAGGAAGACCTTTGTGGAAACCCGCACTGGAGTCTTGGCGCGATGGGAGCACATCCGGCACCGGGGGAGGAGGGTAGGAAGGAGGTGGTCCTGTGGGTCGACCTGAACGAGCGAAGAAAACACGAAATCAGAAAGGTTTCCTGTTTTCAGTCAAGAAGCTGCTTACACTTCCTTCCATTTTCCACTTTTAGCACATTATCAAGGTAAAGGAATGGGTTGGCGTATGTGGCGTCACCTGTAGATGTCGGCGAACGGTCACTGTCCGGCTTCAGATAGTCTTCCTCGTCGTCTTCATCGTCATCATCCTCAATGTAATCTTCACACAGGAAGAATAGCCACAACAGTTTAATAACACACAAATATACTATAGAACATGTTTCATGCACATGTATTCACTATCAGGGTTTTACCATCTCCTGGGGTTTCGACATGATGTTTAATGTCCAAGGGCCTCTCAATGGTGCCGTAGAAACTGTCAGCATCTGAATCTGAGTCACTGTGGCGACAAAGAAAATGTTTGTGTTAATAAATGCGAAAAAAAATATTTCTACAGGCAGGTAGCTTTGTTTAAGACATCCAGCTAGCTAGAAAAATCTAAATTTATGTCAAAATATTTCGGTTTTTGGAACGTTGCAGTAGTTTTGGATGGCAGTAACAGCTGGAATTGAAGAAAATTAAATTGAAATGACGTCAGTAGCTATTGTGGGAATCTGAAAACCTTTAGTCACTTCTCCAGACTAACTGTTGCTGCTACAAGCTAGTTTTACAGCTAGCTAGTTATTGAATTCCCAACTTTATGAATGCTAAAATATTTCCATTATTGGAATATTAGAATATTTTTTGTTTGGCAGTAATAATCAAAATTGAAGAAACATCAGTCAAAAGGATGTCAGTAGTTTATTAGTGTAATCTGAACACTTTTTGCCACGAGCGCAAGTGCTTTCCAGACCTGCTGTTACTGCTACAAGCTAGTTTTAAAGCTAACTAGCTCACTGGTAAAGTTGCAAAATCCGTCACTGTCAATATATTTTATTTTTTTCACAGAATATTTTGCATAAATTGAAGAAAATAAACTTAAAATGACACCAACAGCTAAACAATCAATCTGAAATCTTTTAGCCACTAGCTTAACTGCTATCAAAACAAGTCTTATCTCTGTTAGCGGTAGCTTTTATGCTAGCTAGGAACTGAAGTTTCAACATAACGAGTTCTAAAGTTTAAAAAGAACTTACTGTAAAGCTTATTACGTTATTTATTTTACCAATACTAATTTACCGTTTCAGTTTGCCAGCTAGCCAAAAAGCTAACTCTTGTTTCCAGAAATGTCACAACTGTGAACGCTAAATAGGCTAATATAAAATAGAAAAACATGTTGATGTCTTATCTGGCTTTTCGTCACACGACGACTAATTTGATCTTTTGTCAAACTGAGCCTTGAATAGAATTATTTTAGAGAAGAAAGTTGGTTTTAATAAATTAAAATTAAAATGAAAAAGACACTGAATAAACTGACAATGTACAAAATGAGCTGCTAATGTCCCCGCTACCAATAACATTATGTAGATTGAATAAAAAAAACCTCCTTGTAGATTACTAATCAAACATAAGAGGCCATTTTAATTGCCTACATGAATAATTAATTAGCCTACAGATGTAGCTTCTGCTGGGAAATAGTTGCCACAACCAATAATAATTAGTTTACTGAAGTCCTGCTCAGTTGTTAAAGGTGACTGATGTCGGGAAGCTTAACGTAGTGTGATATGACAGAAAATGAGGTTTTCCTGCACGTGTACACACTTACATGATCCCATTTCTATTCCAGGTAGTTTGTGCTTTGGGTGACAACTATAATCAGTATATTAAAGATAAATAGAGGCCACGCTGTGCGGTGAAACGTGATGATGGTTTGCTGAGGTTACCTTGGAATCTGGGAATCTTTTCTGTCGTTATAGTGATCGATCTCCCTCCGCAGGTATCGCATCCACTTCTGCAAAATATGTAAAAATATTGTCTATGTGAAACAGAAACTTTGGCACTCAGAAAACAATCAGACTTTTTTATTTCCCGATGCAGATTTACCCAAAACATGGCTGTAAATTTGCTCATTTAACAGAAAAGTCTCGTTTAGTTCAATCAGTGGGCCTAGAAATGAGTCAGTGTTGTGTTTTCTAGTTGAATGCATTTAACACACAAAATAAAAAACAATTCAACAGAATCAGAATTAATTAGCTTCACAAACTTCTCTAACTTTGACAAAATCCAAACTACTTTTTAAAAATGGAAACGAGAAGATTTTGGAGTTGTTTGGATTTCGCTAGAACGTCGTACAGATGTGTGTAACAGCTGTTCTAACGTTACTCCAAGCAGCAATAAATAAGGAAATTACCCAAATATTAGTATTATTAAAATGAGAATTATGCTAGACGAGAGGAGAAAGTACCACCTCTGTTTAAACCCACTAACCTAAACAAAATCAATTAATTCTCAACAGGAAACACTACTGAACAGAATCACATAACAATAAATACCTTGGATATATTTTGATATACTTTAATTATATTTCAGTGTTTTTGGAGATTAAAAGTGACTCTCTGGGATTAAAACTGTGGCAACAGCTAAGCTCTTGGTAACCAGACCAACCCTTAATTTGACTTTATATTTCTGTATTAGTGGACATCCTGTGCCCCGTTGTGTTGTCCTCACCCTCCTCTCGTCTTCGCTGGCGGCTGAGAAGAACCACGTTCTGTGTTTCTTACTGAAGTGGACGATCTTGAAAGGAAAGACGTTGCTGGACGTCGTCTCCTCGGCGGCTCGCATCACTCTGAGGATTGATAAACAGTTTTATTCACGTTTCAGTAAATAATAACGCTCAGTGAATAATCTGTTCTACTGAACTACTGGGACTGAGAATCGGTTTAACTACAGCACAGTGGAGGCGACACTGTATGAAACATCTGTTTGTTTTGAGTATTTTTTTCTTAATGATAATCGGTTCTGTAAATCAGAAATGACGTAAAATATTACAAAAGATCCGAAATAAAATGATTAAAATCTGGCAGAAAAAACAACCTTAAATAAAATACAATAACATTCAAGAACTGCACAAATATTGGTAAATATCTGCAAACTAATGCTATTTTTAGCTCATATAAATACAATAAAACTGTATAATTTCACAGTCACATGCTTTAAAAGAACAAATTATTATTTGTGAATGTACAGATTTTTGGTTTATGTCCAGTTTTTTTTTAAATTAATTTAATTTAGTCGATATTATTTGTAATGTACAATTTTTTAGTCCTGAATGTACATAATTTATCTTTTAAATAACGACAAATATCTGTAAAATATTTTTGTTGATTTAAATACAGTTAACTGTCATTTTAGGGTCCAATGTTGCTAAAGAAATTATCATTGGTGAAAATAAATAATATTTATAATTTTAGTCTTTCTTCTTTTTTTTTTGAAGAGTTAGCATGTATATAAATATGTTTTTTGTTGTAATTTTATCCAAATATCTCTGTAATTTACCAAAACAGGGAACATTAGTGAAACAACAGCACAAACTTTGCAGTCAGAGGAGCTGTTCTCTTGTGTTACAGAACATGGAAGACATTCGTGTCATTATGATCAAACAAACCTTCTGAAACATCAAACAAAACTACGTTTAGTTTGATCATATTGACACCAGTCTGACTCCGTAACGCTGAGTCATGCCTCTAAACTCTCCACGTTTTACTCCAACGAGCTCCTGCAGCCTGAACGCGTAAATCTGAGCCGGAAGAGACACGAGTGTGGAAACGACCGACTCTTCGTTGTGTTCCAGAAGAGTAGCGTTGTGAGAACACAGTCAGAGCCGAGTATGTAAATTACACGTTTGGGTTTCTGCGGCTCAGGAGGAAAGAATCCACGAACCAGAGAGTGTTTGGACGAGACAATGAAGTTTAAAGTTCATTCAGGCTGCGAGACAAACGCCTGAAACTCTGGATTTATTCTGTATCTGACCAACAACATGTCTGATAACTGCTCATGTGGACGCTCAGGAAGCTCGATAAGAGACAAGAGGACAGACTGAGGGGTTTCTGCTGACCTGTTGTAGCCGTTGAGAGAGAACGCCCCCTGTGGGGCTGGATGGGTACTGCTCTTATAGTAGTACACGCAGCCCTTATGGATGATGATGTACCTCAGAGGCCCTGAAACACAGGCGTCACAAACGTTTATCATCTCTCTTGATTTCGTCACGCTTTGTTCCTCTTCAGAGTCGTGTGAACTCACATTTCATGAGGCTGAACTGGCTGCCTCCCTTCTTGTGCAGGTATCCCGCCGTGGAGACTCCCCCCGGCATGGTGAGGAGGTTCTGGGCCCCGATGGCTCGCATCGGCACCGGCCAGCACATCTCTGGAGACGACATGGTTCTGCAGGACGGGACAGGAGAGATATTTAAACTGTTAATAATTAAATTAAACAGTCAAGATTTCACTTCCATAGCGGCAAAACGTCACAGAAACCTGACGCCTCACTTTACTAAAGTTTGAATATTAATAAATGGATCCCAAAACCTTTCTGCTAACAAACTGTTTCTTTCCACTGAAGCTTCAGGGTTTTCTGAGATATCAGCTCTCACACAGACAATCAGAAAACAATCAGAGGCAGCTTTTGGTCAAATAAACCAAAATATAGTCAGTGATGGACAATTATGAGACACTTGTCCTCCCCATCAGGTGCAGCTCACTGGAAACCAACAAACTGTGAAAATCCGGCAGCAGGATGTCAGAAAACATTACAAATGGAGGAGTACTGCAGCGTTCTGAAACAGTATAAAAGAAAATGCAAATAACAGCAAATCTGTGTAAAATTGTGTAATTTTATGTCCACGCATTCTTAAAAAAAGGTTACTATTAATAAAAATACAAAAAAATACTGAGAAAACTAGACTTTTTTCTGTGACTTTACTAGACAGAATCTGTAATTTTATTTAAAAAAAAAAAAAAAAAGGAAAATCTGTAAATTACAATTTTTTAAAAAAAGAAAATTTTGCCATCTTAGTGTCTATTTTTTTTAATTTAATTTAGTTTTTTTTTTTTTGAATAACTGCAAATATCTATGAAATAATGTTGTTTTTTTAAGTTGCTGATTTAAATACTCCAAAAATAAGGTGATTTTTTTTTTTTGGCAAAGTCAACATTTAAATTAATATTTTTCTGTGAATTTTACCAGTTTTTATGTGTAGTTGAACGTAAAATGACAAAAAAAAATCTTTAACATAACAGCAAATAATCTAAAATAATCTAGTTTGCTGATTTTATTACAGTAAATAAAAAGAAAAAACATCGAATTTAATAGTTAAACATCTTAAAAGAGCAAATTTCTATCAGTAAAAATGATGATTTTTTGTTATAAACATTTATATTTAAAAAAAAAAAACAACAACAAAAAAGCGGTTTACATGTAAATTATATTGATTTTTCTGTGATTTTTTTGGTTTTGATCTCTAAGTGAACAAAAACAGGGCAAATCTGTAAAAAAACAAGAAAATGTTTATTTAAAAAACGCAGGTTTAAAGATCTGCTCCCTGGTTCCAGTCGACAGGAAAAAAAAAAGTTCTTATTCCAACTTCATGCCGTGAAACGTGTCTGGAAACTTGATGAGATCTTTGATTTCAAATCCAAAGACAGAAGATGAAACACAAACAGTGTCATAAACTGAGGATCCAGTTGGTGGAAGGAGAGGCCAGAAATCAGCCATCACTGGATCTAATGTGACGGTTTTAAAGATAAAAGAAGGACTCGGTGGAGATCAGAGCTCGTTCAGCCTGACTGACGGAGTGAAGCCACCACACATCTCCCTGCACTCGGAGCCTCTTCCTCGGGGGTTTCCTACCTCCTGCTGAGCCTCCTGCTGATGCCCCTGAAGGCAGCGTTGTCCCTGAGCCGGCTGACCGTGGAGGCCAGCGCTGAGCTGGCTAACGCTGGCAGGACGTCCATGTCAGAGGCCACAGACGAGCTTCTTTCTGTCCTCTCGGCTGCATCTGATCCACTCTGAGACCAACCAGTCCGTCTGATTTTCTGCCTCCTCTCATCTCTTTTCATTCCCCTCCCTCCCTCTCTCTCTCTCTGGCTGCCTTTGTTGATTTCTATCTCCCTCCTTCTTGCACATAAACAAACTGAGATACATGATTTGAACACACGTTTAATCCGGACGGGAAGCTCACACACACCCGAGTCCTCGGAGGCCTCGTGTAACGAGCATGTGCAGTCAAAACAAACACTTGTGCAGAACGTCTTCATCTCCTCGTGTGTTTATGTGGCGCTTCCCGTCTATCAGCTGCATCTGCTGACCTCAGAGGGCGGCTGGGTGTGCGCAGCCCAGAAATGAAGCGTTCAGTGGGACTTGTGGCCAGAACCGACTCCCTGCACCGACACAAACTGAGCAGCAAGAGCTTCACGGGCTGGAATCCAGAATATGAAACGGCAGAGTTAGGAATTAGTTTAACGACAAATAAATGGACTGAAACAAGAGCAGCTGGAGGTTAAAGGGGATTAAATTCTAAACCTGACTTAGAAGAATGAATCAGTGTTTGGAAAAACTTTATTTACAGATTAGATTTTTGAGGGTGAACACTTAAATTTTTTCTCTAATTTTACAAGATATTTGCAATTTAGAAAAACTAAATAAAATTTTTATTTTTGAAGATTTTTCAGTCATTAATAATCTTTTTTTTTTTACATAACACAAATCTGTAAAATAATTATATTTGTCACCTCGTTTAAATGGCGTAATTTCAGTGCCGCATGTGGTAAAAAAAAAACAAAAACTACTATTTATAAAAATTGACATAGTTTTTGTGGACTTTATTTGCAGTTTTTTGTTTGTTTTTAACAGCCACATGTAAATTCATATTTAATTTTTCTTCTGGTATTTAACAAAACATAAACAAAAAATAAATTTATATACAAAATATAAGTACATTTATTTGTTTAAAAAAAACTATGTATACATATTGTTTGTATGGCTAAAAAATATTTAACTTAAAAAAAATCCTTAATATAATTTTTCTTTCACATATCGGCAAATATCAAACAAAAATAATCACATTTTTTAAGATCATTTTATATATTTTGATGTCAAAGTTCATAATGCTCCTTTCCAGCCGACCAATCGTATGTTAGATGAAGACTTGTCACCATGGCAACCCAGAAAATGGAGGGAAAGCTTCAAATGTAACCCAAATCCTGACGAATCTAACCCAGTAATGCTGGTGCCTAAACTAAACCGAGCCTCTAACTTGTAACAACAGGTTGATAATGACGTCACATAAAAGCATCTTTGAGCAGTTTACTTGCATCAGAAGTCATTTTGTGGAGTTGAAGCTTTTTCATTCTTCTGTTAAACCTCCTGACAGTCAGCCATGATGTCAGCATTCAGGAACTCAAACAGGCAAACAGAACAAGTGAGAATCTGGGAGTTTGGACAGAAAGAAGGAGGAGAAGCTGATAAAGCTGCAGTAGATCTTGGGCCTGGAGCCTGTCGGTGACCTTTATCTGCCCTCAGCGCTGCGTTTGAGGACTTCAAGAGGACGTCTTGAAGCTCTCATGTCGTGTTTACTGATCAGCGGCTGATTAAAGTTAACTAAACCTCATCTCGGAGTCGCCGAGGTCACAGCTGCTTATCGTCCACGCCAGGATTTCCTCGAGCCGCCGAAGCCGAGGCAACACGGTGGCGCTGTGGCTGCACACTCAGCCGTTTAGTGTTTGCTGTAGGAAGCGGACTGAAAGCTGTTTTTTCAGGAGGAAGATCAGGATCGGGATCAGAAATCTGAGCCAAACATCACGATCGAATCCTTTTAAAAGACCTGCCAGATAGTTTTAATTCAGTGACTCAGTCCATAGATTTCCTGTTTTTAAGACCCGAATGCATCAAGAGGAGCTACAAGTTCAACAAATGCACGGTCAAGTGTAATCATCAGGGTGGTTCAGACACTCAAAAATAATGTTTTAAGAATTAAACTGAACATAAGAAGACAAAGGAGGCAGCTGAACTACAACCTCATCCCTAGAATCCTCTTTAAAAGGACTCGTAGGATCCTGCAGAGAGAGAAAAACTGAACTTCTGTCGTTTTTTTAAAGCTCCAACTTTGACGAAGAGGATTTTCTAAGGATGTTATTGAAGCTATTTATTCTGCTACCTCTGATGCTGCAGCTCCTACAATAAAATGTACATTTCTTTCACAGTTTGATGACATTTCGACTGATTTAATATCCTTCAGCGACAGTTTAACTTCTTCTTTACTTGTTAAGGCTTTAAACTTAAACATTTGATTCCACTTTTACCTTTTCAGCCTCAACTGACTTAAGTGTTCGTTTTTTTGCACATTATACTACAATTAGAACGACTGAAGGACACTGATGAGGAACATGTGGCTGCAAAAAGACACTTAGCATCAGTCATATGATAATCTGATGCCATCAAACGAAGCAACACAACTAATTTAACTGTTTAAATCAGCAACACAAACTTTTGTGTGACGAGTCTGAAGCCAAATCTGAACGCTTCCATTTTTTTGCTATTTTATTATGACTGATGTTCTGTGCAGATTCCCTACAAGGCTGCAGATTATTCTATTTCCAGATTGTTATTTAAAATACTGAAGTCTTCTGGAGAGAATCCCTGTACTTGTTGCACATTACAATATGTACATATGTCCTCTAGGAAACAGTATACATTGCCCTGTATGTTTTTTTTTCTTTCGCTAAAATGCAGCACACAAGACAGACAGGATTTGAGCCTCTCTGTTGCATCAGCAGCTTAAATCATAAATGCAATTATCAGGGGAAAAAAAAGAATGAATTACAATTTTAATCTTACAGTTTTGTAATATTACAGGAACTTGTCCTGATTTATTCAATAAAATATGCATTAATTTGAACTTACTGCTCCGATGGTTGAAGAATTATTAGAATAAAGATGTGATAATGAATTATATTATTATGAACATTATTTTTAGATTTAAATAAGAGTTTTTTGGGGTATTTTAAGTGGGGCAGTCAGTTTTTTTTCTACTACTGGCACTTAATTTTGTATTTTATTCACTTTTAAACCACCAGTTTCATAGTTCTTGACCTTGCCGGTTATTGTTCTGCATTAAAGTTGATCAGAAAGTCATTATTTTATGTCAAAATAAAGTCGTAACTATCCAGTAAAAAGAGATTTTGCATTTGTTTAAGACTCTCAGTCCACTAAAACAGCACAAATCTGTTCCAAACTGTCTAATTTTCTGGAATCATGTCCACGATCTCCTTGAAATACACACAAGTGATAAATTCTCAGGCCGTCTGAGGTCATTTCTTAGAAGATGAAACGGGGAAATTCAAACGGTCTCAGTCAGCAGTTTCAGGGTTTCCAGGTACTGAAGTCA